TCACGCCGTGTTTGGATGGTGCCCTGTATGGGGGGTTATATCACGCCGTGTTTGGATGGTGCCCTGTAGGGGTTATATCACGCCGTGTTTGGATGGTGCCCTGTACTGTAGGGGTTATATCACGCCGTGTTTGGATGGTGCCCTGTACTGTAGGGGTTATATCACGCCGTGTTTGGATGGTGCCCTGTACTGTAGGGGTTATATCACGCCGTGTTTGGATGGTGCCCTGTACTGTAGGGGTTATATCACGCCGTGTTTGGATGGTGCCCTGTACTGTAGGGGTTATATCACGCCGTGTTTGGATGGTGCCCTGTAATGTAGGGGTTATATCACGCCGTGTTTGGATGGTGCCCTGTAGTGTAGGGGTTATATCACGCCGTGTTTGGATGGTGCCCTGTAATGTAGGGGTTATATCACGCCGTGTTTGGATGGTGCCCTGTAGTGTATGAGGATTAGCACCTCGGGGAATGGAAATCTACTGATTTTGCTTGCAGTAAAAGCATCCAGCATTACACCCGCGCTAAGCACAGCACTGAGTGGCAAGACATTTCTAGGAACATTTAAAATAGTCCAAAGTATCTGATTGGTACGTTACACCTTCCGGATTGCCGGCAGTCACGAACTGTGATCTAATAACAGGATATGTCATGTAGAGACTTGTGGCTGTAAGCTGGGTTGGTAATGGTACCGTCTTTTTTATCCAAGACGTTAAGCCTTTCTTAGGTTGGTAAAGAAGTGTGTTTATCCATGAGTTAAGGCCTATCTTAGGTTGGTAAAGACGTGTGTTTATCCATGAGTTAAGGCCTTAGGTTGGTAAAGACGTGTGTTTATCCATGAGTTGAGGCCTATCTTAGGTTGGTAAAGACGTGTGTTTATCCATGAGTTGAGGCCTATCTTAGGTTGGTAAAGAGGTGTGTTTATTCATGAGTTGTTAGATTTGATACACACGAGTGTGGCTAAGCGGCTTGTGAACGTGTGTCAGTCTGACCTTGACTCGATGACGTTGTAGTGGCACTTGAAACGTGTCCGGGTCTCGCCTTTGACTCACCATGCTGTCAGTACAGCACGTAGGACGTGAGTGGCAGTTAGGCGGGACACATGGCAGCCACCCACTCAGCCGTACATTCCGTGCCCTACGTAACAGGTGGAGTAGACGTGACACGGAACACACCGTGTCGGGACAACGTTAGCTGCTTATCTGCTGACTGTATCACACAGACACTCATACTGGTGGATGGTAGGAGGTGCCTCCAACTTATTTCTATCTAGATGTAGAGTTCAGGCTCATGTGAGTTAATCTGTGCTATATTTAGTGTGTTCGCATTGACTCGTCTTAGCTGTGTTATGGCTTCGTGTATTACCACAGGCTCGCTTTGATTACAACGGTTGGTTATGTTTATGTTGACCACCTCCCTTGATTACACGTGTGTTGACCACCTCCCTTGATTACACGTGTGTTGACCACCTCCCTTGATTACACGTGTGTTGACCACCTCCCTTGATTACATTTGTGTTGACCACCTCCCTTGATTACACGTGTGTTGACCACCTCCCTTGATTACACGTGTGTTGACCACCTCCCTTGATTACACGTGTGTTGACCACCTCCCTTGATTACACGTGTGTTGACCACCTCCCTTGATTACACGTGTGTTGACCACCTCCCTTGATTACACGTGTGTTGACCACCTCCCTTGATTACACGTGTGTTGACCACCTCCCTTGATTACACGTGTGTTGACCACCTCCCTTGATTACACTTGTGTTGACCACCTCCCTTGATTACACGTGTGTTGACCACCTCCCTTGATTACACGTGTGTTGACCACCTCCCTTGATTACACGTGTGTTGACCACCTCCCTTGATTACACGTGTGTTGACCACCTCCCTTGATTACACGTGTGTTGACCACCTCCCTTGATTACATTTATGTTGACCACCTCCCTTGATTACACGTGTGTTGACCACCTCCCTTGATTACACGTGTGTTGACCACCTCCCTTGATTACACTTGTGTTGACCACCTCCCTTGATTACACGTGTGTTGACCACCTCCCTTGATTACACGTGTGTTGACCACCTCCCTTGATTACACGTGTGTTGACCACCTCCCTTGATTACACGTGTGTTGACCACCTCCCTTGATTACACGTGTGTTGACCACCTCCCTTGATTACACTTGTGTTGACCACCTCCCTTGATTACACGTGTGTTGACCACCTCCCTTGATTACACGTGTGTTGACCACCTCCCTTGATTACACGTGTGTTGACCACCTCCCTTGATTACACGTGTGTTGACCACCTCCCTTGATTACACGTGTGTTGACCACCTCCCTTGATTACATTTATGTTGACCACCTCCCTTGATTACACGTGTGTTGACCACCTCCCTTGATTACACGTGTGTTGACCACCTCCCTTGATTACACTTGTGTTGACCACCTCCCTTGATTACACGTGTGTTGACCACCTCCCTTGATTACACGTGTGTTGACCACCTCCCTTGCTTACACGTGTGTTGACCACCTCCCTTGATTACATTTATGTTGACCACCTCCCTTGATTACACGTGTGTTGACCACCTCCCTTGATTACACGTGTGTTGACCACCTCCCTTGATTACACGTGTGTTGACCACCTCCCTTGATTACACGTGTGTTGACCACCTCCCTTGATTACACGTGTGTTGACCACCTCCCTTGATTACACGTGTGTTGACCACCTCCCTTGATTACACGTGTGTTGACCACCTCCCTTGATTACACGTGTGTTGACCACCTCCCTTGATTACACGTGTTGACCACCTCCCCTGAAGACCTTACCACACTAGTGATGTGACCTCATTTAAGTATGTGACGGTCAGCTGCCCGTACGCTACAATATATTGATTAGAAGAAAAGGTCAAAGTCAGTGAAACCTATTTTGTTTCGTCTGCTTGTATTGTGTTAATTGAGTTGACCTTGACCCGAGGCAGTGACGTACTCACCTTGTCGGGATAATGAAGACAACAACAAAATGTTTGTTGAAGAAAAACGAGGTTAGCGGAATGGTGTGACGCACACGCTGGCATCGATCTAGTCTGTGGTGTCTATTGGCGTCATCGCCGGGCTGGTGATGCAAGCCGGCACTACACGTGTTCCACGGCGATCTTGTGGCATTTGTCCTGCCAGTTGTCACCATTAGCAGACAGACCACTCGCCATTTGTCCTGCCAGTTGTCACCATTAGCAGACAGACCACTCGCCATTTGTCCTGCCAGTTGTATTGTCACCATTAGCAGACAGACCACTCGCCAAGGTGTTGTTGACACCTGGAGATAGTGGTAGTTTTTAAAGGGAATACCTGAATGTAACATCCTGGTTCATTTGTTTGAAGGCATCAAGTCAGGTCAGTTTGTCATCTTCAAACGTTTTTTTTTGTTCCCACTTTTACAATATCTTTCAAAGCAACCTCTTAGGGGTCGTCCATAAATGACGTCACACTCGTAGGGGGGAGAAGGTCCGTAATTTTGTGACGGTGTGTGATGGGGGGGGGGGGGGGGGGGGGTTCAGACGGTGTGACGTCACATTTTTGCATTATACATAAAAAAAAGCAATTGTATAAAACTAGTTTTAGACGATGCGTTTTAGAAGACCATTTTAATAAATTGCAAAAGGAATTGATCAAAATACTCTATGTTGACAGAGTTCTGACAAGATTTTGGAAAAATATCGATGTTTTAAGAAAAATTGAATAGCAACGTTGAGGGGGGGAGGGGGGGGGTTGTAGGCTGAGGTGTGACGTCATTTTAACTTTGGTTTAGAAATTTTAAAAAGAAATAGTTTTTGGACACACTAAGGAAGCCACATTGCTATACACTTGTGCCAATATTTTCTAGATCCAGCACCAAGTGTTGTATTGTTTTATGTTTCTATTCAAATGATCTCATGATAATTTCACATGGAGGTCAACTGAGTTTGAATGAACCCAGCAGAGGCATCTAGGCCTAACTTTAAATGTCAAAGTTGTATACAAATAATGGAATGTTAGGACAAATCATAACCTGTATAATTTTATCATTCAAACTTAAAGTGCTCCAGTTTCACTCAAAACTTGAGTTTGAAAACTGTGTTCATGTTGGCCATTATTTCAGTATTTATAACTGTTCTCTCTTTGTAATGGGATGAAGTGGCCTAGCGGTAGATTGCGAGTCTGCTAACTCAAAAGTCTTGAGTTTGAATCCGGGTTCAAGTCAGTAGAGCGTCATTGATTCCATCCAGCTCTGATTTTCTTATTCACTTTATGGAAAGTAAAGGTGGCTGGGGATAGTGGCGACCACACCATCACTTCAATTTCATATCCAGAGGTCAAGAAACATCTCTGTTTGCCCAGTGTTAGGTGTAAAAGGGAATTTTAAGTTACCTTTTCTTTCTCTCTTTGTAAACAGTCATTGAGTCTGATGCCCTAGAGATGTCCATAGTATTTAACTGTTTGTACATGCACATGGGTAGCTTGGCTTGAGTTACTCATTGATCTATTTACACTAGATGGGTGAGTCTGATGCCCTAGAGATGTCCATAGTATTTAACTGTTTGTAAATACACATGGGTAGCTTGGCTTGAGTTACTCATTGATCTATTTACACTAGATGGGTGAGTCTGATGCCCTAGAGATGTCCATAGTATTTAACTGTTTGTACATGCACATGGGTAGCTTGGCTTGAGTTAGCCATTGATCTATTTACACTAGATGGGTGAGTCTGATGCCCTAGAGATGTCCATAGTATTTGTTTGTAAATACACATGGGTAGCTTGGCTTGAGTTACTCATTGATCTATTTACACTAGATGGGTGAGTCTGATGCCCTAGAGATGTCCATAGTATTTGTTTGTAAATACACATGGGTAGCTTGGCTTGAGTTAGCCATTGATCTATTTACACTAGGTGAGTTTAACTTGACCAGATCACATCTCACTTGGCTTCTTATCATCAACTGTTTTTTTTACTTTGTATTCTTTAGACCACCAACCAGTTGCCTTAGAAGACGGCCAGACACACGAAGCAGCAGTGAGACCAAGTGTTCTGAATCTTGTAGCAGCACCAATAACAACCTCTATTCCACTTTGAAAGGCAGCAGCAACCATAACAACAACCACCTCCTTCACTTGGGCAGCGCAGTTTTCAATTCTTTATGTGCCACCCACCATTCCCCTGGGGCTGGCAGAATGGGGGTCTTGTGCACTGAGAAAACTTGTAGTGGGGACAAGTGCCAGTGTGGTGGTGTCACTGCTAGTTCACCTAAACCAGCCACACTACCATCTTTCCCCCCTTCACCTTGTGAAAACAGCCAGGACAGTATCAAAAGTAATGGCATCTCCAGAAAGAGATCATTAGATATATCATTGCGTGAGCAAGATGAGTCTGCTGTTACCAGAAGCCAAAGATCCTCTGGGACCGTCAACGGTATCATCACTCACGTCATCTCAAAGGAGAAGCTAAATGGGGAGATAACAGCTGTCCTGGGTCAAATCAAGCTGGACACTGGGCTCAATGGGCTCAAGCAGCAGGCTCACCTCAATGGTGTTAAACCAGCCCTTGGCCTGGGCTCTCAATCAAACCACCAACCTGCATCCTCACCTCAAACTACAGCTTCAAGCTCCTGCTTGAATGGCAAGGGTGCAACTCTGAATGAGGCTGGGGTCACACCACAGCAAGGCAGCACCATTATGGTGGTAGATGCACTGAAGCGTCCCCAACCTCCATCAACACTATCAGCATCTCAGTGTTTGTCCCCACAGCCTACAGCTAATGATCAGCTTAATCAATCAACTCAGGGAACTCAAGGCAGCAAAGGCAGCAATAACTGCAGCACTGATAATAATCCTGGATCTCCAAAGTGTATATTATCACCACCCAACACTACCGTCCTAAGTCTGCGCCAGAGGCCAGGCCACTCACACAAATCCTCGTCTTTACCAGCCTCCCCCCAGGCTACATCCTCATTGAAATCAAAGCTAACCACATCATCATCATTATCCTCATTATCAACTCTGGCCGCTGATCCCCCATCACCATCACAGCCAAGTACTGTTCAATGCAAATGGCGAGGCTGCTCAGTCGAGCTTGATGCCAGTGACCTTCTGGAACACATACGCAAGCATGCAGAAACACAGATAGCTAAAGAGACCTACTCTTGCTTGTGGCTTGACTGCAAGGTCTTTAACAAGCCTTCCTGGTCAGGGTCCTGGCTCGAGCGTCACATTGTAACTCATAGTGGCCACCGGCCATTTAAGTGTATACTGGATAACTGTGGACAGCGTTTTCATTCTCAGGCGGCCCTAGAAAGGCACGTCAATGGCCACTTTACAGCCAACAGCCAAAATGGGGCCAAGTGCAGTCGCAGCAGAGAGGAAATAAACCACCGGATGTTACAGAAAAGAAGAAGACAAATGAAAAGAAGATCTTTACAAGCAGGTAAACAACTGTTGCATTTGTATCACTCAATTTGTTCAAATCATGAACCAGTCAAGGTGCCATTCCTAATTGATGTCCCACTGTTTAAACCTACTTTTACCCCCAACACAGGTCCATCGCAGATGGTAATTTAGTTTTTTGTGTAGTTTAATTGATACATTTTCTCTGTTGGTTCAAATTTATTAACTCAAGTAGTTTCAAGTTAATTCTGATTAAGTTGATCATTACTATGAATACTTTAAATACTATTAAATATTAATACTCACTCAATACTATCAAAACATATTAAATCGCAATTTTTAAGTGCTACTTAATGTATAAACAGGGATTGCTATCTGTGTAAAATTGGACTGTTTGTTGAGGTTATATAAAACACAGGAGCTAAAGATTACAGATTGTGTTTAGAGTGTGTCTGACCTTTATGCTGTCATTGTGTCAAACACAGGAGCTAAAGATTACAGATTGTGTTTAGAGTGTGTCTGACCTTTATGCTGTCATTGTGTCAAACACAGGAGCTAAAGATTACAGATTGTGTTTAGAGTGTGTCTGACCTTTATGCTGTCATTGTGTCAAACACAGGAGCTAAAGATTACAGATTGTGTTTAGAGTGTGTCTGACCTTTATGCTGTCATTGTGTCAAACACAGGAGCTAAAGATTACAGATGGGCTTAGAGTGGGTTCACTATAACAAGGTTGAACCAGCCCAACATGATTTAAAGTCTGTACTTGCATTTAAAGCTCCAGAAGCAGATATGTTTTTAGAAGCTAAATAATGACTTCTCAACAAAAAGGACAAGGTCATATAAAAGTGTTATTTAGTGGTTGCAAAAATAAATTGTCATTTCCAAGTAGATTGTTTCCTAAAATAGTTGACACCCCATTTTTTTCATGTGCACTAGCAGCAGAATGCTAGCTAAAAGCTTCTCAACCCAAAGGCTGAGACATGTGCACTAAAGTAGCTTGCTGTCCTTTGTGTCAAAGACATGTGCACTAAAGTAGCTGGCTTTCCTTTGTTCCTAAGACATGTGCACTAAAGTAGCTGGTTTTCCTTTGTGCCTAAGACATGTGCACTAAAGTAGCTGGCTTTCCTTTGTGCTCAAGATATGAAGCAGATTAATTATACCAAGTATGTGGGTCATAAGGCCTTTCCAGCTAGCTGACTATGAATTACTTAGCTCTTATAATTGAAAAGATATTATAAAAGGGAGCTTAATTATCATTGAGTGTAATGTAATATGGGCTATCCCTTCAACATTCTAATGAGTACATCACAGTCTCTGCGTTGTTTTTGTTATTAGATAATGGCTAACACTTAAATTGGCTGTGTAAAAGTAAAACTGGATAACATTCCACATTAAAAGAAAGAATATTGATAACATCCATAGGGGCCAATTAACATTTAAAGTTCTAGAATAAAATGCAGCAGGCATATTTTACCAAGTTGATTGTTCTGTTTTACCATCTCTTCCATTTGATCAGTCTGCTTACTAGCTCTAGAATGTAGGCTTTGGTGGTTAGCCTAATTTTATCAGAGCCAGTTGTTGTCATATTTTCTCCACCAATCCTGACAGGTCATATTGCCTGTCACTTAGTTAGCTGAACTTTGTCGCAGGTCTGGGGATGTCTAGATTGTTTCCCTTCTAAATTATCTTCCCAGAGAAAATATTTATTTCCTCCTAAACCTAACCAATGAAACCTGTACTTTCCTAGTGAAAAGAAATGATTTTTTTGACGAGCACACCATGGCAGTAGTGAAACAAGAATTGTTTGCCCTGACAGAGTGCACCCACTTGGATCTCTCAGGGAACTTATTGCATACAACATTCCAAGGACTGGTGAGTACACCTTTATCTCTACACTCGATTCAACATGTTACATTCAAATGAATTGATAGTAATCCTGTATATTTCTTGTGGATAAAAAATGTGATTGCGGTCTGCTTGAGCTATATTATTTGATTGCAGGTTGTGGGTAGACGTGAGACGAATTCGGGTGCTAAACATTCATTGATAGAGTTTACTCCCAGTGCAGTGTAAGTCAACTCTCCTTAAGATCAACTCTGTGGAGTCATCATTTACATGATTATGTTGCATTACTAATTACTCAAGTTTTTAAATTTAAAATAGTATAGTGTGTGTATTTTTTTATTTTAAAAGAAACTAATGTTAAAACTTACTTAGCTAGTGATATATATTAGAACAGTTGACCAGTCTGCTTGATGTACCTTTGTCTCCAAGACTTGCTAAAGATCCTTCAATTTTGGGTCCATCTAACCAGCAGGTTGACACAAGTAGGGTTTCCCACTTTCCCTGCTGTATTTTGTGTAGACTTGACTAAGAGTCTAAAACTTTTTTCTCCAGGTTGGAAGATGAGTGGGTGCCAGAAGAAGAAGAGGATCACATCTGTGAGATCTCCATCCCCCTGTCCCAACTCCCCCATGACACGGTCACAAACCTGCACTCTAGCCTCTACAGGAGGCACAGGTTTCGCAAACACAGGCGCAAGTAGACGACAGCACAGTTTGGGCACAAGATGATCACAGAAGAAACAAGTGAAGATGGCCATCATTTTATTCAACTAACCCACTAGGATATTAGTAGCACTTTTTTCATCATGATAGCAGGCAGCAGCAACTTGAGTGCAAAGATCATGCTGATTCATCAGTTTTACATATCTTTTTCTATTATATACATCAAGTTCATGCAGTTTTGTATTTATAGAGTTATATTTATTGGTCATAATGGTGTCATGAACAGCCAAGACAAAGAGCAGGTGGTTTTTTTTTTAATTTACTTTCAAAATTGTAAGTAGTGTAAAGATTTGTATTTGATTGCTTTTTATTTGATACTATTTAAACTATTTATTTATGAACTTGGCAAGACTAGCCAAGTCTCAAAAGATGAGTACACTATTGTATGACTTCTACCTCCTGAGTGAAATTTGACCACGGTGCCTTCATCACCCACTGGGCACAGCCATGCTTATAGCTAGCCAAGGTCACATACCCCATGGTCAACTCTGTCATCAGCATCTCATCAAGCCCAACATTCCCTACAGGACTATTTGAGCAGCTTGTCTCAGCTCAGGGCACCTACTTATCATCACAATAGAAACTAATATTCCATAGTTCAATCCTATTTATTATTTTAGGTCTCATCCATGTGTCAACCTAATTATTTATTCATAATCAACCAAGAACTAAGTTACATTTCTAGATGGTTCACCTCCCATCTGATGGCGCAAATCTAGGCCCACCTACCAAGTGACCACATGTCAAGTGTTTGCTCAAAGCTGAGCAAAAAATGCGATCTCTGACACACAGTGAGCAGAATTCTTTCATAAAGAATCCAATTTGCTCTGATATTTTTTTAATGTAGCTATTGCTTAAATAAATCACATTGGGAACAGTTATATCCATGCAATGGCAAAATCCTTTATATTTTGTCACTTTTACAGCTAAGAAATTGAACTAATGTTAACCCTTTACTGTCTAAGCAATATGATCATTTTCACTTTTTGTATGGTCAAATGAAATAAACAGATTTCAAATATTTTAAATACCTATTTTTAATATTTTTTTATTTTTTTAAAGAAATTTTTTTAATCCAAAAAAAAAACCCCAGTAAAATCACACCTTGTCAAATTAATTTAAAATTTTTATTTACAGTACAGTTTTTTTTAAATTTCTGAGAACTACTTTTTTATTGAGTAGTTTGAATTTTTTTAAAAATCACAATACCCAAATTTCAGTAGATTTCTTAACTTGAATGAAAAGTTCTGATACATCAAACAGTAAAATCTGAAATGTATTTGGGTACAAGGACAGTAAAGGGTTAAAGCATGTCTGAATGTTTTTCATCATCATTCAAATCAGTGTATATTTTTCTTCAAACATGACTGAATGGACTTGATTCACCAACTGAAAATCGTTGAGCAGATATTTTTCTATGTCATGCTGAGTGCACAGGGGAATGAAATTTCTCTCTTACTATTTATTGTAATAATATCAATGCAATAAAATCTCAAATGGCATTTTACCCTCATTTGTGGTGTCAAGATTGACATGACTTCTGGGGTGTCAAGACTCTGATATAGAACAAGTTATAATTCACAAGAGCTGAGTCTTTATATGAAATTTATATCTACAAATGTTGAAATGTAATTGTGCACAAGTTTTTACATTGCATCACTTGTTTTCACCTAGCTGTGGTTTTTTTTTTTTTTTTAATTATTGTATCATCAGTTTGTATTTAAAAAATTTCATCTATAAATTATTCTTAACATTTCATCCAAATTTTTAACAATCATTTTCTTAGAGAATTGTAATGATTTTATTTGAGACATTAATAACTTGAATATCCTTGAAATATTTAAATGGTGCCAAATGATGGATAAAATCCTGATTTGCTGACTTGAGCATTTGACCTAATGTTGGAAGTGAATCTGTTGTGATTGGTTCATTCTCCTTGTCATTTGTTCTGTGAACAATCCTTGACAGCTTGTAAGTGGTGTTTGACCAGACTGTTCTGCCTGATCAGTTTGCCCCGGGGGGCAACATGGATTTGGCGCTGTCTTACTTGCTGACCAATTTATTTTCTACTTTGATTGTTGTGAGTCAGAAAAACAGAACGCCATGTCAGAATGTGATTGTCCTTGATTGTTTCTCAGTTGATGGTCTCTTCATTCTTTGTATCTTGTACAAAGTTTTTGTTACATTGACTCATTAGTATACCCCTAACTGATATACAAATATTTATATACTTAGCATATCGTTGGTCACTCTTAAGAAACTGATTTCTGAATTATCTATAAAATGTGTATATTGCAAGCTGTTCAAATTGAATTTTTATACAAGATTTTGATTCTATAGATGGTCATGACGAATGTGATTTTAAAACTTGGATTGTTTACAAAAAGTGCACATTTGTTATTAATGTACTGGTCAAAAAACTTTATTTTGTTAAATAGGTTCTGTGGTTGAAAATTTTGTGGTACAGTGGAAAGTATTATGTGTGGTTGAGTGTGTTTGCAAGTTGTGGTGCAGTAGAAAGTATTCCTGCTGTCTCACAAAGTTAACTTGTGTCATTGGTTTCATGTTGTAATTGGTGAATTTTTTTCTTTTTTTTTTAAATTCTATCCTGTATAAGTATTTCTTGTAGGTATAGATAAAAGTGTACAAAGTAAAATCTCTGATTTCAAACTGCAGCATTCCACTGTCTTGTCTTTAAAAAAAAATGTTAAAAGAATCAAATTAAGGGAGCTACTCAAATGATGGTAGAAAACACTTCCTTGTAACTACCTGTTCTTTGCATTCTTTTCAATAGTACCAGTGTTAACATAAAAGGATAGTTGACATGTTTTAATAATGATAATTGTTGGAAAAATAGAAATCCAATTACCTTTTAATATGCTTAGCATATCTCTAATTTAATATAGTTGAAATTATAAATATTGTGTGTATAGCAGGTGGTAACTTCAACATACCCTGTTGGTATTCTTTTTTTTTTCAATCTTGAGTTTGTAAATATGCACTGAGCTAACCCAAGAAGAAAAGGTTATTGTAAACTGATTTTTATTTTCTTTAATATGTAATTTTACTTTAAATTTTGTATTATATTGACAAAAATGGATGTCAAATTTCTTAATCCATTTTTTTTCTACATTTGTTAGTCATTACTTTGAGAACAGCATTATATTCTTTTACATTCGCAATTTCCATTTTATTTTCAAATGAAATAGTGAATTAAGTTTTTAAATTTTGACTTTTTTTCCTCTACATTTTCTTTCTCTTAAAAAAAGAAACAATGTTGTAAGTACTTGAATAAAGTAAGAGAGATTTAGATAATGTAAGACTGGTGTCCCTGTCTTCAGTTTGTGATGGTTGTTGTTTTGGCTTACCTAATCTAAGTCATTTCCTAGTTGGTGATCACAAATTTTATATATACTACTTAAATCACATTAGCTTTAACACTTGATTCATTTCTACAATTGTGGAGTTTAAGAAAAATCTAAATCTGGAATCCTAGTGTAATTGTAGCCCATGTTCTGTTGGTCCCTCCTTGAATAAAAAATGTGTTTACTTTAAGCCAATAAGTAATAAGATTTTTCAAACTGTGAGTTACTCCCCCTTGCCCACTGAGCACAGAAATTTTAGCTGGGTGGGTTGTCATGATGGCACTTTGTTTATTTTTGTCTGGTAAATTACTGTCTTTATATTGTCCAATAATAATATAGTGTGTATTCCTATCTTAACTGATTGATTATTCATCAATTTGAGTGTTATTACAAGGGATAGAAAGAAATTACATAATATGCAAGCACTTTAATCTACTTGGTTGTTTTTGTTCAGGGCCATTCTGATACTACATGTTAATTAGGGGCAGCCTTGTCTTAAAAACATGATTGATAGATCCAGGTGGTTTGAAACACAGCAGCAGGATGTACAAACCATGGAACATTGTGATGTGGGGAATAGCACTACATCTTGTTGTGGTATGCCTGACATATGAACATTACCTAGATTCTAGAGCTCAGTCAAACTGTAGGTAGTGGTCACTTGTCTGGTTCAAGAGCTCAGTCAAACTGTAGGTAGTGGTCACTTGTCTGGTTCAAGAGCCCAGTCAAACTGTAGGTAGTGGTCACTAGTCTGGTTCAAGAGCTCAAACTGTAGGTAGTGGTCACTAGTCTGGTTCAAGAGCTCAAACTGTAGGTAGTGGTCCCTTGTCTGGTTCAAGAGCTGAGTCAAACTGTAGGTAGTGGTCACTTGTCTGGTTCAAGAGCTCAGTCAAACTGTAGGTAGTGGTCACTAGTCTGGTTCAAGAGCCCAGTCAAACTGTAGGTAGTGGTCACTAGTCTGGTTCAAGAGCTCAGTCAAACTGTAGGTAGTGGTCACTTGTCTGACTCAGTCAAACTGTAGGTAGTGGTCACTTGTCTGGTTCAAGAGCTGAGTCAAACTGTAGGTAGTGGTCACTTGTCTGGTTCAAGAGCTCAGTCAAACTGTAGGTAGTGGTCACTTGTCTGGTTCAAGAGCTCAGTCAAACTGTAGGTAGTGGTCACTTGTCTGACTCAGTCAAACTGTAGGTAGTGGTCACTTGTCTGGTTCAAGAGCTCAGTCAAACTGTAGGTAGTGGTCACTTGTCTGGTTCAAGAGCTCAGTCAAACTGTAGGTAGTGGTCACTTGTCTGGTTCAAGAGCTCAGTCAAACTGTAGGTAGTGGTCACTTGTCTGGTTCAAGAGCTCAGTCAAACTGTAGGTAGTGGTCACTTGTCTGGTTCAAGAGCTCAGTCAAACTGTAGGTAGTGGTCACTTGTCTGACTCTCAGTCAAACTGTAGGTAGTGGTCACTTGTCTGGTTCAAGAGCCCAGTCAAACTGTAGGTAGTGGTCACTAGTCTGGTTCAAGAGCTCAAACTGTAGGTAGTGGTCACTAGTCTGGTTCAAGAGCTCAAACTGTAGGTAGTGGTCCCTTGTCTGGTTCAAGAGCTCAGTCAAACTGTAGGCAGTGGTCACTTGTCTGACTCTCAGTCAAACTGTAGGTAGTGGTCACTTGTCTGGTTCAAGAGCCCAGTCAAACTGTAGGTAGTGGTCACTAGTCTGGTTCAAGAGCTCAAACTGTAGGTAGTGGTCACTAGTCTGGTTCAAGAGCTCAAACTGTAGGTAGTGGTCCCTTGTCTGGTTCAAGAGCTGAGTCAAACTGTAGGTAGTGGTCACTTGTCTGGTTCAAGAGCTCAGTCAAACTGTAGGTAGTGGTCACTAGTCTGGTTCAAGAGCCCAGTTAAACTGTAGGTAGTGGTCACTAGTCTGGTTCAAGAGCTCAGTCAAACTGTAGGTAGTGGTCACTTGTCTGACTCAGTCAAACTGTAGGTAGTGGTCACTTGTCTGGTTCAAGAGCTGAGTCAAACTGTAGGTAGTGGTCACTTGTCTGGTTCAAGAGCTCAGTCAAACTGTAGGTAGTGGTCACTTGTCTGGTTCAAGAGCTCAGTCAAACTGTAGGTAGTGGTCACTTGTCTGACTCAGTCAAACTGTAGGTAGTGGTCACTTGTCTGGTTCAAGAGCTCAGTCAAACTGTAGGTAGTGGTCACTTGTCTGGTTCAAGAGCTCAGTCAAACTGTAGGTAGTGGTCACTTGTCTGGTTCAACAGCTCAGTCAAACTGTAGGTAGTGGTCACTTGTCTGGTTCAACAGCTCAGTCAAACTGTAGGTAGTGGTCACTTGTCTGACTCTCAGTCAAACTGTAGGTAGTGGTCACTTGTCTGGTTCAAGAGCTCAGTCAAACTGTAGGTAGTGGTCACTTGTCTGACTCAGTCAAACTGTAGGTAGTGGTCCCTTGTCTGGTTCAAGAGCTCAGTCAAACTGTAGGTAGTGGTCACTTGTCTGACTCTCAGTCAAACTGTAGGTAGTGGTCACTTGTCTGACTCTCAGTCAAACTGTAGGTAGTGGTCACTTGTCTGACTCTCAGTCAAACTGTAGGTAGTGGTCACTTGTCTGGTTCAAGAGCTCAGTCAAACTGTAGGTAGTGGTCACTTGTCTGGTTCAACAGCTCAGTCAAACTGTAGGTAGTGGTCACTTGTCTGGTTCAAGAGCTCAGTCAAACTGTAGGTAGTGGTCACTTGTCTGACTCTCAGTCAAACTGTAGGTAGTGGTCACTTGTCTGACTCAGTCAAACTGTAGGTAGTGGTCCCTTGTCTGGTTCAAGAGCTCAGTCAAACTGTAGGTAGTGGTCACTTGTCTGGTTCAACAGCTCAGTCAAACTGTAGGTAGTGGTCCCTTGTCTGGTTCAAGAGCTCAGTCAAACTGTAGGTAGTGGTCACTTGTCTGGTTCAAGAGCTCAGTCAAACTGTAGGTAGTGGTCACTTGTCTGGTTCAAGAGCTCAGTCAAACTGTAGGTAGTGGTCCCTTGTCTGGTTCAAGAGCTCAGTCAAACTGTAGGTAGTGGTCACTTGTCTGACTCTCAGTCAAACTGTAGGTAGTGGTCCCTTGTCTGGTTCAAGAGCTCAGTCAAACTGTAGGTAGTGGTCACTTGTCTGACTCAGTCAAACTGTAGGTAGTGGTCACTTGTCTGGTTCAAGAGCTCAGTCAAACTGTAGGTAGTGGTCACTTGTCTGACTCAGTCAAACTGTAGGTAGTGGTCACTTGTATGGTTCAAGAGCTCAGTCAAACTGTAGGTAGTGGTCACTTGTCTGGTTCAAGAGCTCAGTCAAACTGAAAGTAGTGGTCACTAGTCTGACTCAACTTGAGGCTGTTTGATGGTTGTAAAATTGTGTTGACTATCTGTCTCACACTTTCCCCATATCAAGCTTCTAGTTTTGTATTTTTTAAATATGACAAATATAAACTTTTCATTTCAGTCTTTGTTTTATTATGTTAGAGAGTTGAGCTGTCTGTTGTGTGAGTCAGATTCACTTTGAGTGATTGTCTTATAACTATAGTATAAACTGCCCTGGCACTATGTCAATCATTGTCTTGAGATGGTACAACAAAGAATCTCAACTCATATAGGCTTAGTATATGATCAGAGCCTAGTTAATGTAACACAGGAGCTTAGTATTGGATGGGAACCTAATCAATGAGGGGGGGGGGGGGGGGCTCAATGATGGGTAGCTTTCTACAGTGGCAAGTAGCGTTGAGGATGTAAAGCAAGCTATTAACATGACTGAGTTTTATCTTGAGTCATTATGATGGTTGCTAAAATTGTGGGTGACACTATATAATATGGGGTAAGCTGAAAATGTGGGTGACACAAAAAAAGTGGGTGATGCTGAGATTGTGGGTGACACAAAAAAAGTGGGTGAAGCTGAGATTGTGGGTGACACAAAAAAAAGTGGGTGAGGTGAAGCTGAATTGATGGAGGTGTGGCTGGGGTGACAGTTACCGCCCCAAGTGACACCTGACCTAATGACGCCACTGACAATTGTAATGTATAGACACTAACTAAAAATTTCTCTTCATACTGCAATGAATACGTTGTTCTGATTTTTTTTAATCGGGGGGAGGGGGGGGGGGGGGCAGGTGTAAGCAATGAATATATTCAATATATGTTAGAACCGCTGCGTTAGAACACCAGCAAATGATAAATAAAAACAACCTAAACTCCCACACGCTGTTCTCTAGCTCACAACTGTAAACAGTTCTTAAACTTTGAAGTTTTATTCAGCAGCAGGATTTCTGAATATTTTGAGCTTGTCGCTCCACTAACTTAAGATCAACTCTCTAAATACCGGTACATTATTTTAAACGCACAAGTAGCAAATTAAATATAAGCCATTTTTAATAATTTTATAATTTAGTAGATAAAGATCTATATTAAATTAAAATTGGATGAGTGACGTGGACTAATTAAGTTATTAAAAATCGGCGCATTAAAAAGTGATCAAATAAACTAATGATCAAACGACTTTTTAACCAGTTTTTTTTTTTTTTTTTTTTTTTTTTTTGCAGTGCTACTCATTTGTTAAAAATCGTTTAAGACTTCTTTGACAAGAACAAATTTTTAAAAAATAAAACGTTTTTGAAACTGGGCTTGTTTTGTTCTTTTTTTAAAGGATATTTTGTTTGAATTGTTTTGAATATCACTCAATGTAGGTTACACTCGATGTAGAGTCTAAATAGAATATTTGTGTAGGCCTACCTATTGAGATGTGTATTTTTGTGTACACATGGGGATTTTGATCTTTCTGTATGCTCAACAGTCTTGATATATATATATATATATATATATATATATATATATATATATATATATATATATGTCTGAGTGTAGATTGTGTTTAGATATTTTCTTAGGTCTGTGGGAAAAACTAGAAACATTATACTCATTTTGTGTGAGAATATTCTAACAAAGTCACACAAACTAATCAACAGTTGTGATATTTTCCCCTTCAAATACTTTTAACTATCACAGTATGTTACAAATATGTTTTATTTACAGAATTAGTTTTAATTTGGCTTCTAGTCATACAATATTTTATTTATTATGATATTTAATAATGACAACTTATTAAGAGGGGTTAATTGCATTAGAATTAGAGTAATTCTAACAACCAATCAGGATGTTACTTGCTCCTCTTTGGGAAAACTTGTCTGACTCTCAACTGATTCCTAGTGGGAAAAAACACAAGAGCTCTTTTATTTAGGAATCTCAAATGGTGAAGGGAGCATTAACACTGACAAAATGTCATCTAATACACTAAACTAAAACAGTTAATTAAAATAAATAGTAACTTTTAGTATGGTTTCAAGTGTTATTGTTGAAAGTAAACTTAATAGTCAATGATGTAGTTTTGACATCATACTGGTTTTACTAAGACATAAGAACTGTCCTACCATCTACAATTACATTTGTAATGCATTGAAACTGAAAATTTAAAGTCAATAGAATAACAATGAACATGTCCTCATATGTAAAACAAATTGTGCAGAACTGAAGGCGTATTGGCATGGGTTTGATGAGAAGTTAGTTCAGAGTCAGCCATCTTTAATGATTTTAATCATTACCTATATTTAAAAATAATAGTCACAAACTAATGTCAAGAAGTCATGTGTCTGCTGCAAGCAATTTTCTGGTTTGTTTACACATTTTTAAAAGCAAAGATGCATCTTAAGCTATATTGATAATATGGAATAAAATTTCCCATTTACCAAATTTTCATGAAAAGTATTTGTCTCGGGTGTAGCAGTGATTTGTGCAAGGACAGATGTTGGAGCAGGAGTTTGAGAGCTCTCTTCATTGGCTGGCTGTTGTTGTTCAATGTATCTCTCAATCAACCAATCAGGTCCACGATGATGGAAGTTTCTACTAAGCTCAAAAAGATTCACTACTTGAAGTTTCTAGTTTTCTTGTTAATTCAAATAAGTTTTTTTTTATAATTGTAGCAATAGTGAAAAATGTGTCAATTTTTAAACATCACTTAATAATTAGTTTAAGGATTTTATTTTAGGATTGTGGACCTGTTGGGGTCGTCCATAAATGACGTCACACTCGTAGGGGGGGGGGGGGGGAGGGGGTCCGTAATTTTGTGACGGTGTGTGATGAGGGGGAGGGGCAGTGTTTCTTCCTTCTTCCAGACTTTTTTCTCCGAGGGGGGGGGGGGCACTTGAAATTTTATCGGGGGGGGGGGGGGGTGCGCGGTAGACTTTCTTCAGGGGGGGGGGGGGGGTTGAGATGTTGTGACGTCGCTTTTTTGCACTATAAAAAAGCAATGTTAGAAAACGAGTTTTAGTCGTTATTTCGAGTTTTAGAAAAGGTTTTAATAAATTGTGATAGGAATTGATCAAAATACTCTATGTTGACAGAGCTCTGATAGGATTTTGGAAAAAAATATCGGGTTTAAGAAAAATTCACCAGCAATTTTGAGGGGGGGGGGGGGGGGGTTGTAGGCTGAGGTGTGACGTCATTGTAGGGGGGGTCTGGCTTTTTGTGACGACAGTGTGACGAAGGGGAGGGGGGAGGTAAAAATTGTCAAAAAAAAGTGTGACGTCCTTTATGGATGACCCCTTTAGCAAAATTCAACTTTGAACAGCAGTAATTAGTGTAGGCAATTAGATTAGCTATATATATATATATATATATATATATATATATATATATATATATATATATATATATATATATATATATATATATATATATATATGTATATATATATATATATATAATATATATATATATATATAATATATATATATATATATAATATATATATATATATATATATATATATATATATATATATATATATATATATATATATATATATATATATATATATATAATGTTTTTTAAAAATAAACATATAGAATAAATGTGAATTAAGATTAATAAAAACAATTATCTACAGAAGTCATAGTGAACTAAGTCTGTCAAATAATTTATACAAGTCATAGTGAATTAAGTCAAATATTTTATACAAGTCATGTGAATTAAGTCAAATAATTTATACAAGTCATATTGAATTAAAGTTTTGCCACCCATGTCCTGGTGTCTATAAGGATACATTTAAAGGTAAGGGAGGCAACTGGAAAACTGAGGGAGGCTGCGTCAGGCGAACCTCTGTTGAGCCTGAAATTTGTACAAAAACAAAGATTAAGTCACCCTGTGAAAATTTGGATCTTCTGATCTAAAGACCTAAAAATAGTTCAAAGATTGAGTCACCCTATAAGAAACGTTGATCTTCTGATCTAGAGACCTGAAATTTGATTAAAAAACTGACAGCCTTGAGGCTGGACTAAATGACCAGCCTACCTGATGGATGGAAGTATTGGTGAGCTCGTGGGTTGAAGACATTTCCCCTCTTGTAGGGCATAAACAGAGCAGGCAGGCTGACATCTGAAAGTTAAATCAAACACTTACACGTGTAACCAAATAAATTCTTAAAATAAACAAAGCAGACTGCCCTACATCTGAAAGTTCAGTCCCAACACATTTCTCTATTCCAACATTGTACTGTGCCTACCTTTCAGTGCATCATAAAACATTTCCTCGTTCCTGCTTAGCTTGTGTTGCCCTGCCAGTTTTTTCTCCAAACTTTCCCTGATTTCCTTAAAAGTTTTTTCATTGAGTTCCTCTTTATGTTGTTTACTTTCTTCCTCCCACAGTCGCAGTCTCTCAAAGAACTAGAACAACAGACAAGTGTGATAAGTCTCTCAAAGAACTAGAACAACAGACAAGTGTGATAAGTCTCTCAAAGAACTAGAACAACAGACAAGTGTGATAAGTCTCTCAAAGAACTAGAACAACAGACAAGTGTGATAAGTCTCTCAAAGAACTAGAACAACAGACAAGTGTGATAAGTCTCTCAAAGAACTAGAACAACAGACAAGTGTGATAAGTCTCTCAAAGAACTAGAACAACAGACAAGTGTGATAAGTCTCTCAAAGAACTAGAACAACAGACAAGTGTGATAAGTCTCTCAAAGAACAACAGACAAGTGTGATAAGTCTCTCAAAGAACTAGAACAACAGACAAGTGTGATAAGTCTCTCAAAGAACTAGAACAACAGACAAGTGTGATAAGTCTCTCAAAGAACAACAGACAAGTGTGATAAGTCTCTCAAAGAACTAGAACAACAGACAAGTGTGATAAGTCTCTCAAAGAACAACAGACAAGTGTGATAAGTCTCTCAAAGAACTAGAGCAACAGACAAGTGTGATAAGTCTCTCAAAGAACAACAGACAAGTGTGATAAGTCTCTCAAAGAACTAGAACAACAGACAAGTGTGATAAGTCTCTCAAAGAACAACAGACAAGTGTGATAAGTCTCTCAAAGAACTAGAACAACAGACAAGTGTGATAAGTCTCTCAAAGAACAACAGACAAGTGTGATAAGTCTCTCAAAGAACTAGAGCAACAGACAAGTGTGATAAGTCTCTCAAAGAACAACAGACAAGTGTGATAAGTCTCTCAAAGAACTAGAACAACAGACAAGTGTGATAAGTCTCTCAAAGAACTAGAACAACAGACAAGTGTGATAAGTCTCTCAAAGAACAACAGACAAGTGTGATAAGTCTCTCAACTAGAACAACAGACAAGTGTGATAAGTCTCTCAACTAGAACAACAGACAAGTGTGATAAGTCTCTCAACTAGAACAACAGACAAGTGTGATAAGTCTCTCAACTAGAACAACAGACAAGTGTGATAAGTCTCTCAAAGAACTAGAACAACAGACAAGTGTGATAAGTCTCTCAAAGAACTAGAACAACAGACAAGTGTGATAAGTCTCTCAAAGAACTAGAACAACAGACAAGTGTGATAAGTCTCTCAAAGAACTAGAACAACAGACAAGTGTGATAAGTCTCTCAAAGAACAACAGACAAGTGTGATAAGTCTCTCAAAGAACTAGAACAACAGACAAGTGTGATAAGTCTCTCAAAGAACTAGAACAACAGACAAGTGTGATAAGTCTCTCAAAGAACAACAGACAAGTGTGATAAGTCTCTCAAAGAACTAGAACAACAGACAAGTGTGATAAGTCTCTCAAAGAACAACAGACAAGTGTGATAAGTCTCTCAAAGAACTAGAGCAACAGACAAGTGTGATAAGTCTCTCAAAGAACAACAGACAAGTGTGATAAGTCTCTCAAAGAACTAGAACAACAGACAAGTGTGATAAGTCTCTCAAAGAACAACAGACAAGTGTGATAAGTCTCTCAAAGAACTAGAACAACAGACAAGTGTGATAAGTCTCTCAAAGAACAACAGACAAGTGTGATAAGTCTCTCAAAGAACTAGAGCAACAGACAAGTGTGATAAGTCTCTCAAAGAACAACAGACAAGTGTGATAAGTCTCTCAAAGAACTAGAACAACAGACAAGTGTGATAAGTCTCTCAAAGAACTAGAACAACAGACAAGTGTGATAAGTCTCTCAAAGAACAACAGACAAGTGTGATAAGTCTCTCAACTAGAACAACAGACAAGTGTGATAAGTCTCTCAACTAGAACAACAGACAAGTGTGATAAGTCTCTCAACTAGAACAACAGACAAGTGTGATAAGTCTCTCAACTAGAACAACAGACAAGTGTGATAAGTCTCTCAAAGAACTAGAACAACAGACAAGTGTGATAAGTCTCTCAAAGAACTAGAACAACAGACAAGTGTGATAAGTCTCTCAAAGAACTAGAACAACAGACAAGTGTGATAAGTCTCTCAAAGAACTAGAACAACAGACAAGTGTGATAAGTCTCTCAAAGAACAACAGACAAGTGTGATAAGTCTCTCAAAGAACTAGAACAACAGACAAGTGTGATAAGTCTCTCAAAGAACAACAGACAAGTGTGATAAGTCTCTCAAAGAACTAGAACAACAGACAAGTGTGATAAGTCTCTCAAAGAACTAGAACAACAGACAAGTGTGATAAGTCTCTCAAAGAACAACAGACAAGTGTGATAAGTCTCTCAAAGAACTAGAACAACAGACAAGTGTGATAAGTCTCTCAAAGAACTAGAACAACAGACAAGTGTGATAAGTCTCTCAACTAGAACAACAGACAAGTGTGATAAGTCTCTCAACTAGAACAACAGACAAGTGTGATAAGTCTCTCAAAGAACTAGAACAACAGACAAGTGTGATAAGTCTCTCAACTAGAACAACAGACAAGTGTGATAAGTCTCTCAAAGAACTAGAACAACAGACAAGTGTGATAAATCTCTCAAAGAACAACAGACAAGTGTGATAAGTCTCTCAAAAAACAACAGACAAGTGTGATAAGTCTCTCAAAGAACTAGAACAACAGACAAGTGTGATAAGTCTCTCAAAGAACTAGAACAACAGACAAGTGTGATAAGTCTCTCAAAGAACAACAGACAAGTGTGATAAGTCTCTCAAAGAACTAGAACAACAGACAAGTGTGATAAGTCTCTCAAAGAACTAGAACAACAGACAAGTGTGATAAGTCTCTCAAAGAACAACAGACAAGTGTGATAAGTCTCTCAAAGAACTAGAACAACAGACAAGTGTGATAAGTCTCTCAAAGAACTAGAACAACAGACAAGTGTGATAAGTCTCTCAAAGAACTAGAACAACAGACAAGTGTGATAAGTCTCTCAAAGAACTAGAACAACAGACAAGTGTGATAAGTCTCTCAAAGAACTAGAACAACAGACAAGTGTGATAAGTCTCTCAAAGAACAACAGACAAGTGTGATAAATCTCTCAAAGAACTAGAACAACAGACAAGTGTGATAAGTCTCTCAAAGAACTAGAACAACAGACAAGTGTGATAAGTCTCTCAAAGAACTAGAACAACAGACAAGTGTGATAAGTCTCTCAAAGAACTAGAACAACAGACAAGTGTGATAAGTCTCTCAAAGAACTAGAACAACAGACAAGTGTGATAAATCTCTCAAAGAACTAGAACAACAGACAAGTGTGATAAGTCTCTCAAAGAACTAGAACAACAGACAAGTGTGATAAGTCTCTCAAAGAACTAGAACAACAGACAAGTGTGATAAGTCTCTCAAAGAACTAGAACAACAGACAAGTGTGATAAGTCTCTCAAAGAACTAGAACAGTGGTTCCCAACCTTTTTCGAGTGGCGACCCCCTTTTATAAAAATTAAGTGACCCGCGACCCCCATAGAATTAAAATCCCGAAATTAGTATGGAAATCAATAAGCACTAAAATAAGATTTTCTAGTAGACTTTCAATATGAACTACTCTTGATAACTGTTTTAATACCATGAGTAAAATTGCATACTATTCACTAAACATTCGCGGTTAATTTTTGTTTTTAAAGTCTTTTATTTTTGTTAACGCCAACCTATGTCATTATCATTATCTTAATTTTGTTTTTAATCGAAAAATAGTGTTCAAAATAAAATTATATTCTCAAAAGTCAATCAATTTTACGTTTGGATATAAATGGTTAATACTACACCAAAATTGTGTCTGAAGTTTTTCATCTTACGCGGAATCATTCTACAAATCAAAGAATTCATCTTGTAATTCATCGGGAATGCTGGCAACATCAAGGGAAGAAGAGAATGGATAACGCATCAATGCAAATTCTTTTTTTTTTTCAGCTCAGAGAAATAGCGCTGCAGTTCGTTTTCAATAGATTCAAGATGTCCAGAAATTTCTTCTTTCAAAATTTTAATTCTCTCACAATTAGATTCATCTACCACACTGCAGAGTTTCTCAAAATTAAAATATTTCCAAGATTTATTTTCTTCGCCGATTTTGCAGCTTTGATAAAAAATGCCCAGAGATTATCATGGAATGTGATAATATTCGTTCATATGCTTATGTTGATGTTGGAACACATCTGCTAGGTATGATACCCTCTCCAACCACTCTATGTCGTTTTAAGTATACCAAAAGGTCTTGTTTCCTTTGCATTTCCAAGAACAATTTGATTTCAGATTTCAATTCAAAAACACGATTCACAACAATTCGTTTGACAGCCAGCGCACTGTAGTGTAGAAGAGCAGAACCTCGTGATCTTTATTCAGGTCTTTGCTCAGTTCTTTGAAGGCTCCAGATTTCATATAATTTACGAATTATACTAGTAATGGAGTCTTGATGGCGATTGGTGAGGGCAGTGGTTAGGGAGCTAAATCTTTTCTGCTTTCTGAAAGCCCGATTTTGACCTAAACATTGATGGTGGACCTATCCGTACAAACCCTCACAGCCGTTTTAACCCATTTTAATCATCCAATTTAGAAAAAAACGTATTTATTTTCTCCATGCTATCTTCACAAAAGAGCAACTCTTCTTTGCTATCATCTGAATAAATATAGACAAAGACCAGCAAATGCGAACACGAACTCGCGTCTGTTGATTTATCAACTTGAAAAGCAAACAATGGTGAACGCTTAATTTCAAGAAAAATGTTTTATTTAACATCTACGGACATGTAAGAATTAACTTCACCATCTTCAACATGCAGCGTTTGATGAGATTTTCTCCTATTGTGTTTTTTTTTGCTTGGCATTTTCTGTCGCGACTTCATGTGATGCTTGCACTAATGCTGTGTTTCCTTGGTGAAAACTTCCAGTTCGATCAAGTCTCTGACGTTTACAACTAGCTTCATACCGACAAAAGAACTCCATATCTTTTTTGGTGTGTTTCGAATGACTCGTGTCAAATGACGTTTTAGTTTTGAAGATTTCATAAACTCGTGACTGAGAACAACTTTGTACAGTACGCTTTGCTTCTTCTCTATTCCCTTTCCAGTGATGTTAGTAAAGCCGAATTTCAAAAATTCTTCTAAATATTTATGTTTTGTTTCAAATTACTAAGGTTTAGTATACCAGTTGGCGACCCCCCAGAAAGCCCTTCGCGACCCCCAGGGGGGTCGCGACCCCCAGGTTGGGAACCCGTGAACTAGAACAACAGACAAGTGTGATAAGTCTCTCAAAGAACTAGAACAACAGACAAGTGTGATACATGATTTCCATCACGAGGATATTCTCATGACTTTACAATCTTAGCTGATAAATTTTGCAATCTTTATTTGTTCAACTACTCACATCTTGAGGGCCTCTCTCCCCCCATTTTGGTAATGGCCGCCCGATCCTAAAGTTTTTAACTGGCTTCTGTAGCTTTGGAGGCTGTGGGCTGGTAGGGCATTCAAACATAATTAAACTAATGGCAGATCATAATTAACATAGATAAATATCATACAGCAATTAATAATCGAACAACACTGAATTTTAAAAATTATGTAATATTTTTTATAATAGTTATTGTGTATAAAAAATATTCTCATATCAAAGATATAAATTTTGCATACTGAATCAGTTTATTTTACCGAGGTTTAGAGTGAAGTGAATCTTCCAGTTGTACAAGCCCGGCAGGTTCTGTAGCAGACCTGGCAGGTGCCATGCTGGATGGAACTCTGTTGTCCTCTTTTTGTGCCGGTGAGTTAGGGTAGCTCACATTGTCTGAATGTTTGGCTGAGACAGGGGATATAGCTTTGGGAGTAATGCTGCGACGAGGGCCAACAGAAACAGGTCGTTGATGAGGGCTAACAGAAACAGGTCTTTGGGTCAGCAAATGTGCCAAGTTAGAGTTCTCTGTTTGCAAAGATTCCAGACTAGCCATCATCTCTTGCAGGCGTTTTCTGTTTGTAAGTCACAATTAAATTTTCTGTTTGTAAGTCACAATTAAATTTTCTATTTGTAAGTCACAATTAAATTTTCTATTTGTAAGTCACAATTAAATTTTCTATTTGTAAGTCACAATTAAATTTTCTGTTTGTAAGTCACAATTAAATTTTCTGTTTGTAAGTCACAACTAAATTTTCTGTTTGTAAGTCACAATTAAATTTTCTGTCTGTAAGTCACATTGTTTCTCTACAAAAAAAAATGTAGTAATAAAATTTTGGAAAACTTCTATCAAAAGAATAAAATTATGCTGAAAATGAAACTTTAGGCTTATGTATAAAATTTGACAATAAAATGGTGATGTAGCACATAAGTGACCAAAATATTGATAGCTTTTAACTTACAGTGTTTGTGCAAACAGCTATGTTAAAATAGAACACCAAACTTACTGAAATATTTTAAAATATCCCTGAAGCTACTGAACTATTTTAACTTTTTTAAATAGCAATGCAGCAAATAGGTTTCAAACTATGTCTTGACATCATATTAAGTAGTAGAAAATAATGAACTTAATTACTCATATTCATCCTGCATGTAAATTATTTCTTCTTGATGGCGCTCAACCATCTGATCAAACTCTGACTTGCTTATTGTTTCCTGAAGAAAGCAAAATTGTTTTAAAGATTATCTAGAGCAGAGTTGAGTAAGGAAAAAAAATGTAATGATGTAGATCCAATCTGTTAAAAAAATAAAGTCACCAACTTATTAATTATCAACTGTTTGACAGCTATAACTTAAAACCTTGTCCTACATTGTTGTTGATTTCAGAAATCACTTTTTAACCTTTAAATCAATAGTATTTTATAGCAATAAATATAAACAAATAAATAATATTTAATTTAAAAAAAAGGAAGCACTTGGGTAAGAAAGCAAAAAAAAAAAAAAAAAAAAAAAAATACACAGCAAAAAAAAAAAAAAACAACATATTTAGCAAGAAGAGCAACACCACACAGTAATTTAAAAAACATGACAATAAAATAAGGGAATTAAAAGAGTTCAATGCCAAAAGGGCCACAACACACTTTTTTTTACACACTTCAATTATCACAGGACTTTCTTTCCTTTCTATTTCATCCTGCTGAAATGTTGATAAATATAATTCATCAGGCTGAAATGTTGATAAATATAATTTATCAGACTGAAACATTGATAAATATAATTCGTCAGGCTGAAATGTTGATAAATATAGTTTATCAGGCTGAAATGTTGATAAATATAGTGTATAAGGCTTTCTTCAGGCTTTAAATTGGATTGAACTTTTCTCAAAATTTTCTATCTGGACAACTGATACTGATAACAATAATTGTTTATATATAATTTCACTTGTACTTGTTATATTGTTATTTAAAATTGACTCATCTTCTGACTACAGGTGTGAGAAAACAAGTGGTGACCTGACTACAGGTGTGAGAAAACAAGTGGTGACCTGACTACAGGTGTGAGAAAACAAGTGGTGACCTGACTACAGGTGTGAGAAAACAAGTGGTGACCTGACTCACCTCTTGGATTACAGGTGTGAAGTTGGCCACTGAATGGGCCCTGTCCACCATCTCTTTATGTAGATCTTCTTTGGTGGTTTCTCTCAAGTCAATGCCAGTCAAATCATAGACCAAGTCATGGACTCCCATTGTGCCTGAAGTCATAAAACATGAATGTAACAATAAGTCAAATTGACCAGAACAGCCCATCTATCTGGGTTAAATTGACCAGAACAGCCCATCTATCTGTGTTGATGTCAGCCATTGAGAAAGCTAAAACAGCAAATGATCAGAATTTGTAGTGTGTGTAGCAGCACCAACTAGGGAACCAAGTGCGAGATTTGATTTAATACAACTGTAACAGTGGAGGGCACTAATATGTGTTGAAAAAAAGAAAAATTTTCTCTTACCACACTGTCTGTTACATCGCTGTGGCCGCGGTCGATATGACCAGTACATCAGTAATGGGAGTGTCCCACTGGGCATCTGGACAGCGTCTGATTTTCCAGTGTGTAAGGAATATAGTGGGAAAGGAATAGGTTCTTTCCCTTGAACTAAATCATTTTGTGCAGAAGATAGACTTAAGGTGTGCTCATCTGCCATGATGGGGATGTCCACAGAGTCTCCGAGAGATTCAGCGTATAAACTAGATGCACTGGGCAAACACAGGATATTTCACATTATCAAACTTTAAAATATGCAATATAAAAAAAAATCTTAGAATCTTATATATTTGTGGGCTGTCTCACACTATTTTTGTCTGTAGGCTGTCAGACACTGTTTTTGTCTATAGGCTGTCTGACACTGTTTTTGTCTGTAGGCTGTCTGATACTGTTTTTGTCTGTAGGCTGTCTGACACTGTTTTTGTCTGTAGGCTGTCTCACACTATTTTTGTCTGTAGGCTGTCTGACACTGTTTTTGTCTGTAGGCTGTCTGACACTGTTTTTACTACCTTAAGGAATTTGTTCTGGACTTGAGACCAACATCATCGTCTGCCAGATTTGGTGGCAAATAAACTTTTTCGAGCGTCTGCAGACAAAAACACAAATTTTTACATTTTTTACTGGTACAACTGTCTTCACAAATTTCTATATTTTGTACTGGTACAACTGTCTTCACTAATTTCTACATTTTGTACTGGTACAACTGTCTTCACAAATTTCTACATTTTGTACTGGTACAACTGTCTTCACAGATTTCTACACATGTTACTGTCTTACAAACAAAATATTGTATGACAAGATTACTCACCAGATATTTGTGGGTGGTTCTAATTTTGTCATTTGATTATTGTACTGACTAAATATTTATTTTCAATTTTTTACCATTTTTTTAATGTCTTGAAAGTCAATGGTTGTCATGGCAATGATCTCTTCATATCTTCCTTTATGGACAGCAAATTGAATGCTCTCTGGCTCTGCCATGGTCGGCTCTTCCAGCAGCAGCACACCCTCCCTCACCTCATCTGGCAGCTTGATCTCAAACTCAAAGAACCTAGAACCATTGGCCAGAAAAATTTTTTCTCTCTTATACAACAATAGAACCATAGGGTTGGGCCAGAAAAATGGTTTCTCTCTTATACAAGATGGCCCATTTGTTAAAGAACCTAGAACCATTGGGTTGGGCAGAAAAATGGTTTCTCTCTTATACAACAAGGCCCATTTGTTACACACTATCAAACCAGAGTGACCAGTAGAATATAAGGATCAAAATTAAACTTTATTTAATTAATTCATATTATTAACTGTAATGGCTGTAAGACACCAGCCTTCACCAGAAATGTAAAAATACCCCTAACATAACAAACAGGAAGTTATCAAAACTTAAACAACCAAGGCAACCTCATTTGACCAACCATGACAACCTTATTTGACCAACCATGACAACCTTATTTGCTTTGATTAATATCTTCCCCAGAAGAGTGAAACAAATTTTAATTTAAAAATGTCTAACCAATATTGATCTGAGCTCTATTATCTGAAATGGTCAACTTATCATGGAATGAATTCTTTACTTTTAATGTACTTATGTATCATGCACATAAAGCAGAACAAGTGATCAAGAACAATGAGTCAAAGTTTACCTTTTCTTTTTGCTTGGAGTTTGTGAAGATTCTGTAAAATTAAAAATGACATGAGACTGGAACTGACCAAATCTTTACATAGCTTACATTTAGCTACTCAACAGATGAAACTGTCATGTCAAGATGTATTTGTCTTTTTTTTTTTTTTTTTAAGATACCTCAAACTGGACATTTGTACAAACCTCTATGGTAAGTTCAAAAGTTCCCACTTTCAATAACAGACTAACATTTAATTAATAAGTAAATGTTTACCTCTAGATTTAGACCTTTCAATAACAGACTGACATTTAAGTAATAAGTAAATGTTTACCCCTAGATTTAGACCTTTCAATAACAGACTGACATTTAAGTAATAAGTAAATGTTTACCTCTAGATTTAGACCTTTCAATAACAGACTGACATTTAAGTAATAAGTAAATGTTTACCTCTAGATTTAGACCTTTCAATAACAGACTGACATTTAAGTAATAAGTAAATGTTTACCTCTAGATTTAAACCTTTCAAAAACAGACTGACATTGAAGTAAATGTTTACCTCTAGATTTAGACCTTTCAAAAACAGACTGACATTGAAGTAAATGTTTACCTCTAGATTTAGACCTTTCAATAACAGACTGACATTGAAGTAAATGTTTACCTCTAGATTTAGACCTTTCAATAACAGACTGACATTGAAGTAAATGTTTACCTCTAGATTTAGACCTTTCAATAACAGACTGACATTTAAGTAAATGTTTACCTCTAGATTTAGACCTTTCAATAACAGACTGACATTTAAGTAAATGTTTACCTCTAGATTTAGACCTTTCAATAACAGACTGACATTTAAGTAAATGTTTACCTCTAGATTTAGACCTTTCAATAACAGACTGACATTTAAGTAAATGTTTACCTCTAGATTTAGACCTTTCAATAACAGACTGACATTTAAGTAAATGTTTACCTCTAGATTTAGACCTTTCAATAACAGACTGACATTTAAGTAAATGTTTACCTCTAGATTTAGACCTTTCAATAACAGACTGACATTTAAGTAAATGTTTACCTCTAGATTTAGACCTTTCAATAACAGAATGACATTTAAGTAAATGTTTACCTCTAGATTTAGACCTTTCAATAACAGACTGACATTTAAGTAATAAGTAAATGTTTACCTCTAGATTTAAACCTTTCAAAAACAGACTGACATTGAAGTAAATGTTTACCTCTAGATTTAGACCTTTCAAAAACAGACTGACATTGAAGTAAATGTTTACCTCTAGATTTAGACCTTTCAATAACAGACTGACATTGAAGTAAATGTTTACCTCTAGATTTAGACCTTTCAATAACAGACTGACATTGAAGTAAATGTTTACCTCTAGATTTAGACCTTTCAATAACAGACTGACATTTAAGTAAATGTTTACCTCTAGATTTAGACCTTTCAATAACAGAATGACATTTAAGTAAATGTTTACCTCTAGATTTAGACCTTTCAATAACAGACTGACATTTAAGTAAATGTTTACCTCTAGATTTAGACCTTTCAATAACAGACTGACATTTAAGTAAATGTTTACCTCTAGATTTAGACCTTTCAATAACAGACTGACATTTAAGTAAATGTTTACCTCTAGATTTAGACCTTTCAATAACAGAATGACATTTAAGCAAATGTTTACCTCTAGATTTAGACCTTTCAATAACAGAATGACATTTAAGCAAATGTTTACCTCTAGATTTAGACCTTTCAATAACAGACTGACATTTAAGTAAATGTTTACCTCTAGATTTAGACCTTTCTTCCCCTTGCCTGGCAGCTTGGGGTCTCTTCCTTTCCTCTGGTGTGTCATCTGACTGTCATTGTGTAAAATAGTATGTCATCAGACTGCACATGACATCATGTAAACTATTATGTCATTAGGAAGTATATGACATGATGTTAATTATAAAACAGTCTCTATTATAGACCTACAGAATTTCTATTGAACCATTAGAGCAAGTAAAAGAAAAATCAACTCTTATTTCATAAATATTTTAACGGATGCACAACACAACTATACAGTGAAGAATCTCAAATTTGTGAAAAAACAATTGAAATTTTTAAAATTTTAACAAAAAAAAAACCAAACAAAAAGGTTGCCATATATAATCTAAAAGAAAATATTAGATATCAATAAGTCTTATATAAAAAATATTACACTTAGGAAAGATATTTGAAGTTCCAAACATGAATAAAAGCCTTGTGATTCTAGGAATAATAGATTTACCAGTGAGCCTAGTTGTGTAGGCCAAACAAAGCTAACAAAACACTGAGATCTATGTTACACAAAAAGTTAAAGGAATACAAAGGCAGCAATTTATTCAATTTTTCTGTTTGAATTAGTTGTGTCACAGTGAATGGCATGCACTAGCAATGAACAAATGTGTTGTTAAATAACAAGGAACATGTAACAAGTTCATACCAGAAGATAGCAATGAACAAATGTGTAGTTAAATAACAAGAAACATGTAACAAGTTCATACCAGAAGACAGCAATGAACAAATGTGTAGTTAAATAACAAGGAACATGTAACAAGTTCATACCAGAAGACAGCAATGAACAAATGTGTTGTTAAATAACAAGGAACATGTAACAAGTTCATACCAGAAGACAGCAATGAACAAATGTGTTGTTAAATAACAAGAAACATGTAACAAGTTCATACCAGAAGACAGCAATGAACAAATGTGTAGTTAAATAACAAGGAACATGTAACAAGTTCATACCAGAAGACAGCAATGAACAAATGTGTTGTTAAATAACAAGGAACATGTAACAAGTTCATACCAGAAGACAGCAATGAACAAATGTGTTGTTAAATAACAAGGAACATGTAACAAGTTTATACCAGAAGACAGCAATGAACAAATGTGTTGTTAAATAACAAGGAACATGTAACAAGTTCATAACAGAAGACAGCAATGAACAAATGTGTAGTTAAATAACAAGGAACATGTAACAAGTTCATACCAGAAGACAGCTGATGGCTGCAAGAAAAGACAACTCACTATTTTAGAACTAAAGGGAGGTAAAAATAAACAGGTACAGTCAATGGTAAAAACAACACGTTGCTCAACTCAATAAAAATAGAAATTTGTCATTAGCGCATAAAATGAAAGTTATTTAACATTGACGTTTTTTAAATTCACATTTATGCTTCAATTGAAATTTAAGTGGTGAGTAAATTGTGTGAGTGTGTGTTAACCAGTGTATGTGTGGGCTAAAACTCACAACCTCAACAATGACGGGGTCTAATACTGGTGTTTTCAACATTTTCTTTACCTCATCAATGATGGGGTCTAGTACGGGTGTTTTCAACATTTTCTTTACCTCATCAATGATGGGGTCTAGTACGGGTGTTTTCAACATTTTCTTTACCTCATCAATGATGGGGTCTAGTACGGGTGTTTTCAACATTTTCTTTACCTCATCAATGATGGGGTCTAGTACGGGTGTTTTCAACATTTTCTTTACCTTATCAATGACGGGGTCTAGTACGGGTGTTTTCAACATTTTCTTTACCTCATCAATGAAGGGGTCTAGTACGGGTGTTTTCAACATTTTCTTTACCTTATCAATGACGGGGTCTAGTACGGGTGTTTTCAACATTTTCTTTACCTCATCAATGACAGGGTCTAGTACGGGTGTTTTCAACATTTTCCCAGCGTAAGAAATGGAACACTTCAGCTCCAGTTGTCTCAGGCCTTCAGGACAAAAAGTTCGTATAAATAGCGACCGTTCATACGTCGGCTCATCTGTCCAAACATCAGCATCCTTCATTGGGGGTCTGCAAACCAGTTCTTCAAATCTGACTTTCTAAAGGAAAATATATGTCAATAGTGAATAATCCTAATTATAATGTTTACAAATAATAGTAGTAAATTATAAACTATTCCATTTAATGAATATGTTTAGGAGATGATTAGATTTGGTCAGTGATGATGTTTTCACATGGTAGGTTACTGGACACAAAAGTTACAAGCTATTGAAAGGGATCATCCATGAATGACATCCCACTGCTTGTGGGGAGGGGGTTCAGACATTTTGTCGAGAGGGGGGTTCAGACAGTTGTGACTGTGAGGTGATGGGGGGGGTTGGGGGGGGTCAGACAATTTGATGTCATGCTATTGCATTTTAAAATTTTGAGAATTTAAATCTGAATTTTAGCAAGTGTTTGCCAATTTTTAAACTTCACAAAAGTGGAATAAAATGGAACAATTTACTTAATCTTGACCCAACACACAAAATAAAAAATGTAAAAAAAAGGCATAACATCTATGAATACCCTAAGAAAATGTGTACAATCTAAAAATAACTTGGGTGAGGTGAACTACTGTAAACATCAAAAGATAGGGAACCTTTGGGCTGGTAATCCTTGGATGATCTCCCCTCCCAAAATGGCTGCCATCAGTGGGTGACTCACCACTCTCCTCAGACCTCCCTGTGTCACCACTCACCATAGACTCAGTACCTAAGCAATGTTTTAAAATAGAAATTTCTCAACCAGCTTGATATAGTTTTTTATTTACTTCACACTCTGTGAGATCAATCCAAAGCATTTGCTCTTGACTAAGTAAGCAACAAATTCCGAGATTGGAACACATGTGTTCTGATTTAATTGCATCAAATAAAAGTGTTAATTTGTAAACATAGGGCTAAAATTGTGTACAAAAATGAAAGAATGTCAAATCTTATTTTATAATCACATATATCTAGGTTGTTGTTTAGGAAAAGAAGATAAGTGTAATGATACCTTCTAATTCTTCACCAGCTTTTTCCTCTAATTCATCATTTTTTCTCTCTTCATCTTCTTCATCAAGATCATCCCCTATACTCACTAAAGTTTCCTCTGCTTCATTTATATCATCCAGTTTATGGCTAGAATTTTTATTTTCATCTTCCTCATTATCTGATTCTTCAAGGCTTGCTGTATAGGCCTGTACAAAAACAGAAGCTTAGTGGCAATCAATATTTGTCCTGCCTCCGATAAAACCTAAAAAAAGTACAGGCTATGTCGTTACTTTCATGGACTGTAAGAAATGTACCTGAACATGCTCTAGGCCAAGTTTTGCTTTCTGTTTGATGGTTTCAATGAGAAATTTCCACCTTCTGCCGTGGCCTCTAGTACTGGTCATCTTGGAGAAGAGCTTCTCCCAGTTCATTATTCTCTTCTCTCTAGCTATCCTTTTGGACTATCATGGGAATATTTTTTGTCTTCAATAAACAAGAGTCAGCAGAAAAATACATTTTTATCTCTAACTTTAAATGCTGTTAAATAAAATTCCTGTATTAAACCAAATAAAAAACGTACATGTGCATCCACCAGCTGTAAACGTTTGATGGCAATATTGAGCTGCCTCTGTTTGCTGTCGTAGTCTTCATGTAGCTTCTTCAGTGCAGCACTTTTCTCTTCCCACGGGGTGGCATACACACGGACCAGTCTAACCAACTCCTCAACTGGCATGCCGAGGTCACTTATGCTGGACAAGATAAGTAACAACGGAATAATAAAACACTGCACAATCCTTACTGTCACCATGGCAACATAACAGAACAAAATTGAGTCAATACCAAAGTTGTTAGGCCAAGAATCTGTCAGCATTCACAGAAACATTATCTCACCTTCTAAACAAAAGTTTATCTCACCTTGTAAACAAAAGTTTATCTCACCTTCTAAACAAAAGTTTATCTCACCTTCTAAACAAAAGTTTATCTAACCTTGTAAACAAAAGTTTATTTCACCTAGTAAACAAAAGTTTATCTCACCTTCTAAACAAACGATTACTGATCATTGCAGTTTGAATAAGAAGAGTTGGTGGAAGAGAATGTTTCAGCATTTCATCTTTGAGCTCTAGGAGCTGTGGAGATCAGACAATCTGGCATTAAAGGCACTTTTCTGTGTACAAATGGATAATTTATCTAAATTCATGACCTGTACTTTATAAGAAAAGTGATTCCTAGGATGAAGATCTATTTACTTCTTGTAAAGAGTCATTCACAAGAGCGATTGCACTAAGAACACCATCACAAAGGTTGTCAAATTTTGTTGGTTCCCCTCTACGAGTTCCTTCCTCAGCCTCATCATCACTCTCTGGTTCAGATTCATCATCAGACTGTCAACATCATGTGATAAGACAGTCAACATCATGTGAATAAAAATAATGCACATCAGACAACATCATGTGATGAGACAGTCAACACCATGTGATCAAACAGACAACATCATGTGATCAGACAGACAACATCATGTGATGAAACAGTCAACATCATGTGAATGAAAATAATACACATCACCAAATGTTTCATTTGAATAGGAAAAATATTTTCCATTTGAAACAAGAGAAAAAACCTGCCTCTTCTCCATCAGATCTTGCACTATTTTCTTCTTCATCCTCTTCTTCCTCAACAATTCCCAAATTGTTCCTTAGGCCTGGAAAAAGTTTTCAATTATTTATTAAATTTTAAATAGGCTAAAACAAATACTTGTAGGGATTTATAATAAGTGATTCGAAATGCTATTTATAATACATATTTTTTCATCCATTTTATTAAATTTAAAAATAATTAGTATTATATCTACTAGGGGCCTATCTATTATTAATTAGTTATTTTTATTATATATTACAATTACATAAACTGATCAGATAAGTGATAAACAACACTGTACGTGTAACAGGTGGACAGGTCTAATAAAGTCTAATTAATTAGAAATTTAATCTTCCGTTTTTTCAGTTTACTTTATAGATTTAAATCTAGATCTATGAGAAAATAAATACGATCCTCAGTTTACCTCTATCCATTTTTTTTGACTCTCTTACTGTTTATAAATTGGGTAAGTTTAGTTTATATGAAAAAGTTAGCTTTAAAAATAAACGTCCGCCATGTTAGCTTCTTCTGTTGTCAAGTTACTTGTCACGTGACGTTTATTTAAAAATAAAAATGTGCCGACTGCTGGCAGATTATAATAAATATTTTAATTTTAATTTGGCCTACAAAAGTTTTAAAACGAGACTAGATATAGTCTGAAAATGTGTCTGAAACATCTTTAATTTTTTTACAGACCCTATAGATTTAATTATATTTATATAATTTACCAGTAAGGTACCAACAACCTTTAAATATTACTTCGGCTATTTAATTAACTGTATGGACTATTAGGCCTATAGGAAATGTTATAAGATAAGAGCCTATACTGCCCCTTTATCCATCCATCCATTCATCCATCCATCTATCCATCTATCGATATATATATATATATATATATATATATATATATATATATATATATATATATATATGTATATATACAGTGGCGTAGCGAGGTCGGGTGTCACCCGGTGCGGCACTTAATGATGTCACCCCCCCCCCCCCCCCCCCGTAAAAATTATATATATATATATATATATATATATATATATATATATATATATATATATATATATATATATATATTATTATATATATATATATATATATATATATATATATATATATATATATATATATATATATATATATATATATAAAGTTGTTATTATTATTATTATATATACTAGGCATACTGCCTAGCTTCGCTAAAGTTTTCAAAAACCTTTTGAGAATTTTAATGATTAATTATTTGGTGTTTGGCTGTTATGTGGAGTGCTTAGGGCCTAAGCTTAAACAGTTTGAGTAATTTTATGTCATGCTAGCATTTGAAAAGTATTTGCACTTTTTACTCGCAATGTTATTAGAACTGCAAAAGCTTCCTTAAAGTATAAATAAAAAAATTATATTAAATTTACTTTCACAATTAATTTTTACATTTCAGTACAATACATAACTTTATTTATAACAAAATGTCTATTTAAACGGATGCTATACTTTGTGATTTTTTTATTTTTCTTTGAAATAGTATACACATTATTTAAAAATGAGTACTTGAAAAAGCTACCTCCCCTGTACATATACCAAATTACGTTGTCTTTGTTTACTTTTTCACAAATTATTCTTTATATAAGAAAATGCGGCATCTGGACAAATCTAACGAACCTAGGGGGTTTATCCAACGGGAATAATGTTTTTTTGTTACCATCCAGGGTCGGTCTACGACCTCACAACATATCAAAGGGGGTCGTTCGGCAATTTTTTTCCGTAATATAGCTCATCTAAGGCGCCGGTCAGTCGAGGTCAGTTTTGGCCCCCCTCTCTTCCTGGACTTTGTGGCCAACTGGCACCAGCCCCCGTGTTCTATTGCCCCAAGGCAGGAGCCTTCTATATGTATGTATATACGCATGTGTGTATGTGTTCACATATTATTTTTTATGTATTTATTTATCCCCCCCTCATATATGGATTAGCATATAAGTTATTACGATATTCTACCAAACTGTTTACCTCAGGCATATTAACACGTTTTTATTAACTCAGCTTCGCGTGTGTTTGTTGTTAAAATTGACATCGAAAATTAACCCACTTCTGATTGCTCAATAGATCTGAAATTTGGCATGTAGGCTACTTTCGCCTAACAATTTCAGATGCAATCATAAAAACTAGCAATTAGAGACGGTAATTAGCTTAATTTAATTACGCCCCAAGGACCATAAAATTGAGGACATGATTTCTAAAGATACCGACAAGACTGGAGGCTTATAGACACAGTTACTTCGGCCCCAATCGATGTGAGCGCGCTGGCCGTGATCGTATAGTGGTTAGTACTTCGCGTTGTGGCCGCGACAACCCAGGTTCGAATCCTGGTCGCTCAAGATTTTTTTAGTCCGTGTATTTATAAACACTTAGTCAATTCATACTTAATCAAGTCATTAGATAAAGTAGAAAATAAACTATATAAAAAACTTTTTTAAAAACCACGTTTTTCATGTGTAGCAACGGACTAAAAAGGAGAAAATAAAATACTTAAAAAAAACTTTTTAAAAAACCACGTTTTTCTTGTGGACTAAAAAGTAGAAAATAACTATTTACATACATTTGATGACAAAAAACGTGGGTCGGGCAGATGGGTCGGGAAATTTGATGGTGAACGTACCCACGTTTTTTGTCATCAAATGTATGTAAATAGTTATTTTCTACTTTTTAGTCCACAAGAAAAACGTGGTTTTTTAAAAAGTTTTTTTTAAGTATTTTATTTTGCAACGTTGAGTTAATGTAACTTCCTTGTGTGTTGATATTCACATGTCTGTAGTTACGTGTCTTGATATTAAATTGTCTGTAGTTACGTGTCTTGATATTAAATTGTCTGTAATTACGTGTGTTGATATTCAAATGTCTGTAATTACGTGTGTTGATGTTCAAATGTCTGTAATTACGTGTGTTAATATTCAAATGTCTGTAATTACGTGTGTTAATATTCAAATGTCTGTAATTACGTGTGTTAATATTCAAATGTCTGTAATTACGTGTGTTAATATTCAAATGTCTGTAATTACGTGTGTTAATATTCAAATGTCTGTAATTACGTGTATTGATATTCAAATGTCTGTAATTACGTGTATTTATATTCATCTGGCGCTAATAGACCAATACGGCGGCGCGGGACAAAAATAAATCAGCAATTGATTGACACAATTCTATAGCCAGTAAGGGAAACTCAGAGCCACCATGCCCCACCCAGCGCCGTCCTGCCCCACCCACCCAATTTCGTCACGCCCCACCCACCCAGCGGCTGCCCCACCCACCCAGCGGCTGCCCCACCCACCCAGCGGCTGCCCCACCCACCCAGCGGCTGCCCCACCCACCCAGCGCCGTCCTGCCCCACCCACCCAGCGCCGTCCTGCCCCACCCACCCAATTTCGTCACGCCCCACCCACCCAGCGGCTGCCCCACCCACCCAGCGGCTGTCCCACCCACCCAGCGCCGTCCTGCCCCACCCACCCAGCGGCTGTCCCACCCACCCAGTTCCGTCACGCCCCACCCACCCAGCGGCTGTCCCACCCACCCAGCGGCTGTCCCACCACTCCCCCGGCCAATACACGCGAGTGTGGCGGTGTCGCGGCTAACGAGAGCGTGACTCGCGTTTGTTTTGGCGCGCGAGTAGAACAAGTTTATGTTTGACTGAATGTGCCCAGGTTAAGCGACTTTCCCACAGCCCACAAGTGTAGCTGGCTCATGTCCGCCTCATCACATCGGCGCGATCACAACACGGATCTAAACAACACCAGATTTAAACAACACTAGCACTTGTCACAACGTCACAGAGAGCGGGTGTTTTGGGAATTTACGGATGTACAGCTGACCAATAGAGGTAGGTGACAAGAATATTTACACACGCTTCACGCCGTAACTTAACACGTGTTGCTAACGTATCAACATGCACGCTATTGTAACATCACTCATACATCGTTGACAAAAATATACAATTAATTGTAGATATAAGAAGTATAAGCACACCAAATAATTGTAGATATAAGAAGTATAAGAACAAAAAAATAATATAGATATAAGAAGTATAAACTGAATTGATTATAGCGATTTAAAAAAAAAATGTATTAGTTTTTGAGGGTAGGTTTTCCTCGCCAATAAAAAAGCGTTATTTTTATTTTGAAGTAAAATATCGTATCTTATCTTCACTAATTTAAAAACCAGTTCAGTCTTTGATTATATCACATACGCTTTAAAAACTTAGTGATTAGATTTTTTAGTTTTAAATCAATTGGAATTTAAGCAGAGTTTCTTCCAGGCATATCTTCGGGGGGGGGGGGGGGGGAGGGAAATTTTTATAGAAAACATATACTGTTACCAGTGTCCGCACATCCCCCCCCCCCCCCGGAAAATTTCAAGTGAACCCCCACCCCCCACCGGTGAAAAAAGTCTGGAAGAAACACTGCTTCAGTACTCCACACACCACACCCTAGGGGTACTAGACTTCATTACCCCACACCCCAGGTGTACTAGACTTCAGTACCCCACACACCAGGGGTACTAGACTTCATTACCCCACACCCCAGGGGTACTAGACTTCAGTACCCCACACACCAGGGGTACTAGACTTCAGTACCCCACACACCAGGTGTACTAGACTTCAGTACCCCACACACCAGGGGTACTAGACTTCAGTACCCCACACACCAGGGGTACTAGACTTCAGTACCCCACACACCAGGGGTACTAGACTTCAGTACCCCACACACCAGGGGTACTAGACTTCAGTACCACACATCACACACCAGGGGTACTAGACTTCAGTACCCCACACCCCAGGGGTACTAGACTTCAGTACCCCACACCCCAGGGGTGCCGGTCACACACCACACAGCTGTCTTTAGAAATGTATTGCAACACATTTCACGGACTTTTAAGTGAGATAATTGGATAATTAAATGAATACATCTTGCGTTTATTAGGGAAATAACAACTAATTGCCTTCTCTGTTAATTAGGGGAATGACAATAAATTGCTAAATTTCAGCAATTATGTGACCATCCGGGTTTATCCAGCTAATGTATGTTAGGAAGAAAATAGGTGTGAGGAAATGTGTTTGAGAAGATGTGTGTGAGAAGGATGTGTGAGAAGATGGATGTGTGAGGAAATGTGTGTGAGAAGGATGTGTGAAGAAAAGTGTGTGAGAAGATGGATGTGTGAGGAAATGTGTGTGAGAAGGATGTGTGAGGAAATGTGTGTGAGAAGATGGATGTGTGAGGAAATGTGTGTGAGAAGATGGATGTGTGAGGAAATGTGTGTGAGAAGATGGATGTGTGAAGAAAAGTGTGTGAGAAGATGGATGTGTGAGGAAATGTGTGTGAGAAGGATGTGTGAGGAAATGTGTGTGAGAAGATGTGTGTGAGAAGATGGATGTGTGAGGAAATGTGTGTGAGAAGATGGATGTGTGAGGAAATGTGTGTTATGTGAAATGTTTGAATGAGAGGAACTATGACAAAAAACTAACAGGATACCGCGGCTATTCTCTCGTTACATATCCTTGAATTAGACTGGTTGTTTTGTCCAAAGATCACATCTTTAGACTGGTTGTTTTGTCCAAAGATCACATCTTTAGACTGGTTGTTTTGTCCAAAGATCACATCTTTAGACTGGTTGTTTTGTCCAAAGATCACATCTTTAGACTGGTTGTTTTGTCCAAAGATCACATCTTTAGACTGGTTGTTTTGTCCAAAGATCACATCTTTAGACTGGTTGTTTTGTCCAAAGATCACATCTTTAGACTGGTTGTTTTGTCCAAAGATCACATCTTTAGACTGGTTGTTTTGTCCAAAGATCACATCTTTAGACTGGTTTTGTCCAAAGATCACATCTTGTTGTTCCGTGGATGAATTGCTGGGGAAGTTTGAGATCGGCTTGTCTGTTTTAGAGAGGTCCTGTCTGTTTTAGAAAGGTCTGTCTGTTTTAGAGAGGTCTGTCTGTTTTAGAGAGGTCCTGTCTGTTTTAGAGAGGTCCTGTCTGTTTTAGGGAGGTCTGTCTGTTTTAGAGAGGTCCTGTCTGTTTTAGAAAGGTCTGTCTGTTTTAGAGAGGTCTGTCTGTTTTAGAGAGGTCCTGTCTGTTTTAGAGAGGTCCTGTCTGTTTTAGGGAGGTCTGTCTGTTTTAGAGAGGTCCTGTCTGTTTTAGATAGGTCCTGTCTGTTTTAGAGAGGTCTGTCTGTTTTAGATAGGTCCTGTCTGTTTTAGAGAGGTCTGTCTGTTTTAGATAGGTCCTGTCTGTTTTAGAGAGGTCCTGTCTGTTTTAGAGAGGTCCTGTCTGTTTTAGAGAGGTCCTGTCTGTTTTAGAGAGGTCTGTCTGTTTTAGAGAGGTCCTGTCTGTTTTAGATAGGTCTGTCTGTTTTAGAGAGGTCCTGTCTGTTTTAGAGAGGTCTGTCTGTTTTAGAGAGGTCCTGTCTACTTTAGAGAGGTCCTGTCTGTTTTAGAGAGGTCCTGTCTGTTTTAGAGAGGTCCTGTCTACTTTAGAGAGGTCCTGTCTGCTAAAATATTTTGAGAGGTCCCGTATTTCGCCTACGTCTTGGCTAACTAAGACACACCTGTCATCTAGTCCGTCCCCAATGTATACAAACATCACGTCGTGACCTCTAACCTGTGTGGATTACATAAAAAAACGTGTTTTGAACAATCAGCTGTGAACCATTCTTTGCCTACTGCCACACTGTTACCTGATATTGTCACCTGACATTGTCACCTGACAAAACGCACGATGACACTTGTAATAAAGTGGCTTTAATCTCCACTTCAGGACACTTAAATACAAACGGTAGCTGTAAGACACTTGCAAGCTGGGGTCTAAACTTGGTGTAGGCCCTAAGTTGGAATGTTTTTTGTGGCCCACATAGCGTGTGTGTTGAATGCTCTCATTTTCCTGTTTACTTCACACAAAGACTTGATTTATTAAACGCTTTTTTTTGTTACACGACTTTCGTCTGTCTGTCCGCCCGTCTGTCTGTCCGTCCATCTGTCTGCCCGCCTGTTGGTCCGTCTCTCCGTCCGTCTGGTAATTTGTATCAAGTCTAGTCATAACGTATTTGACGACTTGAATGTGTTAAATTTCGTGTTTAGCTTTTATTCAAATAACATAATTAATTTTCAAAACATAAATAGAAATATTAGCCACAAAACCTAATTAGAAAGATAAGTGACAAAACCTAATTAGACAACAAATTAAATGGAGGACTAGGCTAAACGTGTGTTCTGTGTTGAGCACACGTGTAAAAGGGCGTGTCAGTACCGTCGTACTTGGGTACACACGCCAGTCACTGTAGTGTTATATAGAGGTCAACATATGTAACAATTAGACACAACAGATTCAGCTAGCTAGTGCTGTGTTGTCGATATTTTTGTGAAAAAAAAAATCAACTTTTGAAAATCGTTGAATTGAAGATAATTTAGGACAAAGATCAGGTTTGAACAAGATTTTACTGGAAGTCGTAAAAAGAATGTAGAGTGTAGTAGAAACAAGGTATGTGGCTTTGTTGGTCCTAATGCGGTGGCGTTGGGAAGGGTGGGGTGGGGTGGTGTGGGGTGGTGTCAGGTGTTGCATCGGGTTATGCGGGTGCCTTACTCGCGTTACTCCACTGAAAGATTAGCTCTCCATTTAAATAAAAATGTCCGCAACACATTAGTTTACTAGTCGACACACTTCCAATGGACTCAAGTAGGGCAATACATAGCCCCCCCCCCTAGCAACCTTATTCTCCCACTTTGGCACTCAGTACTGACATCAAGAAATCGATCGTTGACTATTGAAACGTTTGGGGGAGATCAATGACTAACTGTAATGTTGAGCCAGGGCACACTGCAACTACAAACTTGGGATCTACGACATACCATTTGTGTACATGACACACCATTTGTGTACAGAACACAACATTTGTGTACAGAACACATGATTTGTGTACAGAACACAACATTTGTGTACACAACATTTGTGTACACAACACACCATTTGTGTACAGAACACACCATTTGTGTACACAACATTTGTGTACACAACAGTAATTAACCTTGACTCTAATTCAACAGCAGTAAAACTTATTGATGGCGAAGAAACAGATGACGAATTTCTAGAATGATTTGTGTATATTTGGCATGAGTTATTTATTTGATTGGGAAAACCTTTTCTATAACCCAATTGTTCTAGGCATTGTTCTGTCCTAACTTTTAATTGCTTAACAAAGGTCCTACTAATTTGAGCCAAATCAACAAGTCTACTACCCATAATTCAAATATCTGAGGTCACAGTTGAGCAACGGTGGCAGACGACTGTCAATCATGTGTCGACGCCCCACCCCTTTTCCTTTGATGGAAGGCCACATTTATGGGGACAGAACGTGATGTGGGTTTTATCGAGATTATAAGTAAGACAGTCCATATGGGCACATGCTACACTGACGTCTCATGTGGGCACATGGTACACTGACGTCCCATGTGGGTATATGGTACACTGACGTCTCATGTGGGTATATGGTACAGTAACGTCTCATGTGGGTATATGGTACAGTAACGTCTCATGTGGGTATATGGTACAGTGACGTCCCATGTGGGTATATGGTACAGTGACGTCCCATGTGGGTATATGGTGCAGTGACGTCCCATATGGGTATAGGGTACAGTGAAGTCCCATAAGGGTATATGGTGCAGTGACGTCCCATGTGGGTATATGGTGCAGTGACGTCTCATGTGGGTATATGGTGCAGTGACGTCCCATATGGGTATATGGTGCAGTGACGTCACATGTGGGTATATGGTACAGTGACGTCACCGTACCATGTGACGTCCCATGTGGGTATATGCTACACTGACGTCCCAT